AATAAGTGAAAAAATCCTTAAATAATAGGAAAGTCCTTATTCCAAAGAAGTGTGCTTCCACCAAAAATGAGTGCTAAAACCACTAAAGATATATCATAAGGGTCTAGGATCCCATAAATACCTAAAAGCAGTTTATTTCACCAGAATCTGGTGAGTGCGGTATATCTTGGTTTTGACCATTAATTTTTGGTGGAAGCACACTTCTTTGGAATAAGGACTTTCCTATTATTTAAGAATTTTTTTAAATTTTTTTTTATTTTTTCACGAATTTTGGAATGGGACCATATTTTATATTGAATTTATTTATATATTGATTTAGCAATATAACAGGTTATTTTGCGCTGTTTGTGATGTTATAATTTTTGGTGTAAGCTACACTTATGTACAGCAGCATTTAATTTTGTTTTGTTTTTTTCTTTATGTACTTTTATTTTTTGGTGCCGATTTCTGCTTATATAGAATATTAATTTATTTTGGCCATGGGAATGAAGGCTCAAGCACTAAAATGTATCCAGCGTTTAGGTACATTCAGCATTTTTTCTGCACTTCAGCTCCTCTCCTGAACATGCTGGTGGTACTTATTTTCTACCTGTAAACGTTCCTGTTCTAATACTCCTGTAAACACCTATGTTTGCATGGACACATATAGAGGTGCACTAACAAGCAGCAAAAACAGCCAAACACCTGTACACATGACGTTTCTTTAAGCCCTGTGTGCATGAGGCCTTAATCTCTGTGCCCAGTGGTGCCTCTTGTCCATTAGAACCCTATAACCACCCCTGCATAACACATTCTTACATGAAGCTGCTGGTGGGTGAAATATTACCCTAAACTTGCAGGCTTAGGTTCTATGCGCACTAATGCAATTTCTCATGTGACTTGCGTTGCACAGAATTGCATGACAAAATAAATCACATTATTATCAATGGTGCCCGTTCACATCGATGCTACTCAGCACAGTGTGATTTTAGAAAAGGTTCCTGTGCTAGTTTGGTGCAACTTGGCCCCATAGCATATGAAAAAAAATACTATCAAGTCACATCAAAGTCACACTACATAAACACACTGAAAATCATGCCAAATCCCATTACATTAGTGTGAACAGAGCCTTAAAATGGTTGTAATTTTTTTTAAAGGAACACAGCATAGCCTCATATAAAGTGTATTTGCTTTAGTCCATAGGACCTACCATGGATCCTGGCCACTCTCTCTCCTTTCTATGCAATCCTTCTAGCACACAAGAAGTGATTGAGGCCTCAGATATGCATGTTTTTCAGTGACACTGTGTAGAGAGGGTACAGAGCTGTAAAGTGGGTGACATCAGATGCACCCCCCCCCCCCCACCTCTTGGAAGCTAACAGATCTGTGTACTTTAGAGGGCTCTGGAGGAGAGAGGGTCGCCGATAAACAGGTACAGCTTAGGTGGAAGGATTTGCTTCATCATTGTTTATCACCCGAGGATAGTTACTTTAGTGGGCTTATTTAAGGTTTATGGTAAATGTATAAGCTCTCCTCCTTTGTATGTTCTATTCAGAAAATATGGAATTACTTTGGGAGCGTTTTGGAAAATGTTTCTGAAGATGAACTTAATATTTAAGCCAAGAGAGAACTCTTCATCTTTATTTAAATTACATAAACGTGTTTAATGACTTACTTGACCTATCAGAGATTACTGCTGTTTGAGTGCTAAGTAATGCTGGAATTCATAAGGTGTGTTGTAGACACTCACTAGAATCTGTCTTCTGTCCATATAAAAAAAAAAAAAAATCTAAAAATGGAACAGCCTATGACAGACTCATGTAACTATCAGTAAAGTTTGAAATAATCTGTTGCAGAACTGCTTAATATAGAATTTGCCTGTAACACACTACTTTCAATTTACTCCAGCATGGAAGAGGTCCTATTTACTTCTGCTTTTCTTTTCACCAATATGGTGGAATTTGTTAAGGAATTTGTTGCAGTCATAGCACAGGAATGTAAAAGCGTCACACATAAGAAACTACCTGAATTTTGGGCGCATAGCAAGAAAACGGTCACACACTTCTATCAATACAGGACTTTCTAAGATGGCCAAAGAACTAGAAAAGTGTTATAAATGCTTAACTGAATCATCCCAGTGTCTCTGAAAACTAACCCACCAAACAACCCCTCCACTGTTCCACTGCAAAACCAGGTACTAGGTTAGACTTATGTCACACAAGAGACTCTGCCACTAAAGACACATAGCCAACGGACAGCCTTCCACTTACCTCTATGTCAGTGGTTCTCAACCTGTGGAACCTCAAGACCCACATTTGTCCTTGGTCATTAAGTGGTGACCCAAAAATAATTTAATTTCTGAAACATTATAATTTATTCCACAAAAAAAATTGTGCAGTATTCTACAATGTATATGTACTTTTTAAACAGTAAACAAACAGCTTCCTTCCAAAATGGAAAGTGCAGTAATCACAGCGCTCGTGTAAATGAAAATGCAGTTGAGGTAAACACCCAATAAAATAAATGGTATTTGAAACATATGAAATTAATTAGAACTAATGGGAAAACTGGGGATGCTTCTTGTCCTTGATAATAGTCTCAAAGTCTGGGGTGATGGTAGGGGCATTAGAGAGGCCTGGGGGGCACTTGCCATCACAACTTATTACTTGAGAAACACTGCTCTATGTAGTAATAATGTTGCTGGCTCAAATCCTGCAGAATCTCCCTTGTTAACCACTTGCTGCCCAGCCACTGTATAAAAACAGTGGCAGGGCGGCACGGCTGGGCAAAAGCACAATTTAAAACGTGCTGTTGCAAAACAGGTAGGGGGCGTGCGCGAGGCGTGCCACCGCCCTACCTTCACCACCGATCTCAGCCGCGGGTGTCAGTTGCCGGGTCACAGCCGGTTGTTATCAGCTGTGTCCCGTAGATTTGCAGCAATCAGTGACAGAGAGCAGGGCTGCAGTAGCTCTGCTTTCTGTCACTTCCCTGACAGTTCCTGACAAGCAGACCAGGAGAAATGAGTTTCTCTGTCCCGATCTGCGTGTCTCCGTGCAGTACACACCCCCGCCCCCTAGTAAAACACTCCCCTCACACAGTTAACCCTTTCAGTGCAAAAAAAAGTTAATCCCTTCCTCCCCAGTGCCATTAGTACAGTGTCAGTGTTTTTTTTTTTTGCACTGATCACTGTATTGGTGTCACTGGGGATGTCAGTGACCCCCAGCCATTATTAGTATAAAAAAAAAAATTTAAAAATCCGAGTATCTTTCCCGCCATTTGTAATCGCTATAACTTTCACGTAAACCAATTAATTTACACGTATTGGGGATTTTTTTTTTTTTTTAGCAAAGACATGTCGCAGAATGCATTTTGGCCGAAATTTATGACGAAATTTGATTTTTAAATTTTTTTTTTTACTGGACATGTTTTATAGCAAAAAGTCCAAAATATTGTTTTTTTTTTTCTCAAAATTGTCAGTCTTTTTTTTAAATAAAAAATAAAAAATGCACAGGTGATCAAATACCACCGAAAGAAAGCTCTATTTGTGTGAAAAAAGGACATAAATTTCATTTATGTACCGTATTGCATGACCGCGCAATTGTCTGTTAAACTAGCACAGCGCGTATAGCAAAATAATTGCGTAAATTGCAGTATCTATACCATAGTTTGTAGACGCTATAACTTTCACACAAAGCAATCAATATACACTTATTGGGATTTATTTTGCCAAAAACATGTAGCAGAATACATTTGGGCCTAAATTTATAACCAACTTTGCGTTTACTATATATTTTTTATAGCTGAATGTAAAAAATATCGTTTTTCTTCAAAATTTTTGGTCTTTTTTTGTTTATTGCATGAAAAAAAAAAAGCGCACAGGTGATGAAATACCACTGAAAGAAAGCTCTATTTGTGTAAAACAAGGACGTAAATTTTGTTTGGGTGCAGCGTTGCATGACCGCGCAATTATCAGTTGAATTAGTGCAGCGCCGAGTAGCAAAAAGAGGCCTGGTCATTAAGGGGGGTAAATCCTCAGGAGGGCAAGTGGTTAAAGAAGGGGCAGCAATGGAACAGCATCTATTTCATAGAGACTGGCAGGCAGTCTCTTAGCAAAGCTAGAGATGGCAATGTGTCACCAGCATCAAGAATCACTCATGTGACAACAGCCTTAGCATGAAATAAGCTACTAACATTAAAACCTTCTTAAGTTTTAAAATGTGAAATTAGGACATTAGGACATCCTCCCAGATTGGCCTAAACCAATTGCTAATGCCAACATTATTTAGGCTACTTTACAAAGGCTTCGGAGGAGCACAGTGGACTGTTACAAGCCTGATTGGTAAAGAAAAGACCATCACAGCCATCTCATAGCAGAAACAGGCATTATATCAGTCTGGGAGATTTGAATTACTTTTTTTTGCAGAACAGAAAAGTGTACCAACATATGTACAACAGAGTGAACAGTCCAAGGCCAGCATAGTGGTAAAGAATGTTTCCTATGGACAAATGTACAGCTTTCTCAGCCAAAATACAAAACAATGTACTATATTTTTTTGTTTTACCGTGAAAGAAAACAACAAAACAACAAGATAAATGAACAGTGGTTCCATTGAATATATGTGTTACCTTGTTGAAGTGTACCTATAATGGAATTTCAAACATTTGAGCCAGCATTAAATCATTGGTCCTTCTTGGTATGTAGCTGTAAAGTGCTGTATTGTGCATGGCTATGGTCATAATAGAAGTGCTTGGGAATGCCATGCCTGGGGCCCTTCACGTTGACAATTCAATCTGCCTAGATATTTCGATCTCAGCTGGACAGCCTCTAGCGTAATAATATGTTACCGTATTTTCCGGCGTATAAGACGACATTTTAACCCCTGGAAATCGTCTACAAAGTCGGGGGTCGTCTTATACGCCGGGTGCTGTGCTGAAACCTTACCGTACTTCCGGGTTGACGCTACTGTGCATGTCTTCGGCAGCAGTAGACGATCGCGGATCACCGTAGCTCGCAGAACTGCATGAGACGTCGGATGCAGCAGTGCTCGATTGAGCTTGACTGAAACTGTGATATGCAGAGAAGGGATACACAGTGATTCTGCGCATGTCACAGTTTCAGTCACGATCAATCGAGCACTGAACGGCTGCATCCGACGTCTCATGCAGTTCTGCGAGGAATGGTGATCAGTGATCGTCTACTGCTGCCTAGACATGTGCAGAAGTGTCAGCTCGGAAGTACCGGTATGGTACTGCTGCATCCGACCTTGTCCCCTTAACTGCTATGAGATACGGTAATTATTAATATTATAATGTCTGTGGCAGTTCTGTGCAATTTTATGGTATCTTGGAGACAGGCAGGGCTGGGCAGGCAGGGAGAGCTGACCCACCCAATCCAAGCAGGCTTTGTATGCAGTGTGCACAGTGTGCACAGAAAATACTGGTACATTGCTTGCCGTGATTGGTTGGAAGAGGGGGTAGTCTTATACGGCGAGTATAGCCCAAACCCTATATTTTAAACAGGAAAAGTAGGGGGGTCGTCTTATACGCCCAGTCGTCTTATACGCCGGAAAATACGGTAGTTTAAAAAGGGGCACCACTTGGTTTACCACCCTTTATTAATGCAGATAGTTTTGAGGCTTCGATGTTCTTCCACTGTATAGCTACAGGGGTTTTTTTTTCAACATAGAAGAAAAGGAGGCACATGAAATGATTTTTAGCAGAGCTCTGCTCCATATTTTCCAGTAGTTCCAACAGACACCCCTTTTAGGGTTATAGATAATGAGGATAGTGATGTACTCAGACATAAATTCAGTGACTTCAGACCAAAAGGGTCCTATTTTTCCCAGCACGAGATCATGTGCGTAGGATTATCCTCTTCCTTTTTTAAATGTATAGTGGTGTCTCACCTTACCCATGTGTGTAACCTTACCCATTCTAAACAACCTTTGCAGTGTACTCTATGAAAGCATTGGAGTTGGCTAAGTTCTCATTATAAATTTTAATGGGTATTGCTGTTGCTAATTTTTGACTAACACTTGCAGGCTTCAGAAGTCATTCTTCATGTTACAGTAGCGCTAAAGCTTGCTTTCTGTCTAACAAAGTCTGTTAAATACTTGTTAAAAGCCACAGCCAGCATTTCTATACATCTAGTGTAGTAAGAATGGCCACAGTTGCTCATGCAGTCAGAGGAACATGGTTTAAAACATTTGGGAAAACTTTATTTCTGTGATTATGGAAACTAGAGAGCATTTGATGTTATTTTATATTGCAGATGTCCTATAGGCATACCTTCTCTCTCCTCCACCAAGCCTAAGGAAATATATTACCAACAGGGCTGTTGTATGCCCCTCAACATATTTATGAGTGTTTGGATATCTACATGTGCCCCCTTTTCCGAACCTCTGACATTGGTTCATCTGTTAAGATTTTTGCTCCTTTTTGTTTGGACACACTCAGGTAAATAATATCCAAAATGTATAGACACAGAGCAGAATGCATTATTACATACTAAACAAGATATATATATATTTAGATGTAGTCTCTGGCTCCTGATGAAGTGGATAAAATCTAAGAAACGTGTTGAGCTTTCAGAGAATTGATACCTGTAACTTACGATTTGTAATGTATCTTGAGTTGTTACTCATAAGGCAACTGTAATTTTAATCACGCATTTTGATGTTAAAAATTATTGTATTGTGAGTGTATGAATAAAATGTATATTTTTATGAAAACTGTTGTGTGGTGCCTTCAAAGTCCCACCATATCAAATGTCTGTTTTAATTCTAACTACTGGGATGTGGCACTTTATAGGCCAAGTAACATTTAGCCTGAAGAATGGCCACAGTTGCTCATGCAGTCAGAGGAACATGGTTTGAAACAACTGAATCTACCACTTGTTACCAGAAGTCTCTGTCTCCTTTACAAGGTTATCAATTGCTAAAAACTCATATTATAAATTCAGGAAAATCTCTTACCGTAGAAAAGATTTAAGGGTTGATTCACTAAAGGTATGTGGGCTCTTCAATGTGCAATGGAAATTTCACTTTCAAAAGAAATGTGCTCCAGAGCTTAGTGAATAAGGTGAGGTGAAGTTCTGACTTCTGCCGTCCAATCATGTGTGAAGGTGTGGGCTGGATTTCCAGAAAGTAATTGACAATATTTTGGGTGATCCTCTCTTTCAGATTACACAAATCTATCACCACCTTTGCTTTTTTTTTGGCCAATCTAAGTGGTGTAGTGCGGGCGAGAGAGTTTATTGTTAATGCAGCTGGAAACGTACCACTGGAGAATATAAGCAGTTCGGAGAAGTGGAATGCTGTATAAAACGTATGCTGACCCACTTATTAATTAAAGGGGTCTCCACATCTGGTAAGTGCAGTCACTGCTGGTGAGTGACCACTGGTGGAAGGTTTCATTTTTATTCTTTTTAAAGTGGAGGACAAATACAGTGAAGGTTTTGAGAAGGATATATTACATCTTCATAAACTGTTCATCTCTAGAGTCTTAAAGCAACATTACAGACTTTTTTTGGAAGTTTACTTATGTCATATAAGGAATATCATATTTTTGTATAGTATATTATATTTGGTGCAGGTGGTAAAATATTTTTAGTTTGTATTGCACATATTTCAACACTATACTATTTGATAAGCGTATCACTGTTATGTACATTTTTATGCAAAAATGCTGTTTTTTTTTTTCTTTTCTTTGCATCTACTGTAATTGGATACTCTTTGCAACATGCAACTTCAAAATGTTCATTAAGCTGTGGGGCGAAAATTCCCTTGCAAAGTGAACAGCCTATTTGCCTTTAGTAAATCAACCTGTCACGCTGGTGTGTCCATTGATGTTGCAGATGTGTGGGTAAGTGAGTTTCATTAGTTTAACTGGAATCTGGATAGGTTGGACTAGGTATAGCAGTTTGGTTTAAGGAGAGAATGTGTCGTTGGATGTTGCTGTCACTGTTGGTATTTGTAATGTAGGGCTGTGTTCCCAGGACCTAGAAACCCAAGAACAAAAGTATAGTGACACATATGAATCATCATAATAAGTATAAATCAGCACACGTATATATATAAAATCCTCAGAAATCCCTTAAAGTCATATCAATATCCTTCCCCTGAAGTACTAATAAAACATACAGTCAGGGCCATAAATATTGGGACATCGACACAATTCTAACATTTTTGGCTCCATACACCACCACAATGGATTTGAAATGAAACGAACAAGATGTGCTTTAACTGCAGACTGTCAGCTTTAATTTGAGGGTATTTACATCCAAATCAGGTGAACGGTGTAGGAATTACTACAGTTTGCATATGTGCCTCCCACTTGTTAAGGGACCAAAAGTAATGGGACAGAATAATAATCATAAATCAAACTTTCACTTTTTAATACTTGGTTGCAAATCCTTTGCAGTCAATTACAGCCTGAAGTCTGGAACGCATAGACATCACCAGACGCTGGGTTTCATCCCTGGTGATGCTCTGCCAGGCCTCTACTGCAACTGTCTTCAGTTCCTGCTTGTTCTTGGGGCATTTTCCCTTCAGTTTTGTCTTCAGCAAGTGAAATGCATGACCAATCAGATTCAGGTCAGGTGATTGACTTGGCCATTGCACAACATTCCACTTCTTTCCCTTAAAAAACTCTTTGGTTGCTTTTGCAGTATGCTTTGGGTCATTGTCCATCTGCATTGTGAAGAGGCGTCCAATGAGTTTTGAAGCATTTGGCTGAATATGAGCAGATATTGCCCGAAACACTTCAGAATTCATCCTGCTGCTTTTTGTCAGCAGTCACATCATCAATAAATACAAGAGAACCAGTTCCATTGGCAGCCATACATGCCCACACCATGACACTACCACCACCATGCTTCACTGATAAGGTGGTATGCTTAGGATCATGAGCAGTTCCTTTCCTTCTCCATACTCTTCTCTTCCCATCACTCTGGTACAAGTTGATCTTGGTCTCATCTGTCCATAGGATGTTGTTCCAGAACTGTGAAGGCTTTTTTAGATGTCGTTTGGCAAACTCTAATCTGGTCTTCCTGTTTTTGAGGCTGACCATGGTTTACATCTTGTGGTGAACCCTGTGTATTTACTCTGCTGAAGTCTTCTCTTGATTGTTGACTTTGACACACATACACCTACCTCCTGGAGAGTGTTCTTGATCTGGCCAACTGTTGTGAAGGGGTGTTTTCTTCACCAGGGAAAGAATTCTTCGGTCATCTACCACAGTTGTTTTCCGTGGTCTTCCGGGTCTTTTGGTGTTGCTGAGCTCACCGGTGCGTTCCTTCTTTTTAAAAATGTTCCAAACAGTTGTTTTGGCCATGCCTAATGTTTTTGCTATCTCTCTGATGGGTTTGTTTGTTTTTTCAGCCTAATGATGGCTTGCTTCACTGATAGTGACAGCTCTTTGGATCTCATCTTGAGAGTTGACAGCAACAGATTCTAAATGCAAATAGCACACTTGAAATTAACTCTGGACCTTTTATCTGCTCATTGTAATTGGGATAATGAGGAAATAACACAAACCTGGCCATGGAACAGCTGAGAAGCCAATTGTCCCATTACTTTTGGTCCCTTAACAAGTGGGAGGCACATATGCAAACTGTTGTAATTCCTACACCGTTCACCTGATTTGGATGTAAATATCCTCAAATTAAAGCTGACAGTCTGCAGTTAAAGCACATCTTGTTCGTTTCATTTCAAATCCATTGTGGTGGTGTACAGAGCCAAAAATGTTAGAATTGTGTCGATGTCCCAATATTTATGGCCCTGACTGTATATTCATTGACTTAAACCCAAAAACCCACAATTATAGTGAAAAAATCAAGACCCAAAGAGATTACCCAAAAATAAAAAATATAAAATATATATAAAAAAAAAAAAATAAAATAAAGTCCCAATATGCAAAGTGTCCAAATAATGTGTCCAAAGATCAGTTTCTTGATAGGAAGACGCTTCCTACTCCACTGAAGAAGATGCAAATCAATCACAGGTGCTCTTCAAATACCTCAAAAAACAATATCTCAACATAGTATATTACCTTTTAAATCCCAGAACTAAAGTGCACACGTGTATCATGCAAAAAAAACACTCCAGTGTCACAGCACTCATGTGAAAAGAAAATTAATAAATATCACTGCAAACTATATATAAAGTGCATAATTACCCTAAAACAAACAGATTCCAGCTTGTAATCAACCACATATGTACAGAGTGTCCTTAGATTGGTATCCTCTTGTTCCTCAGGACCTCCCAAACAGACCAGGAATCAGTATGTGAATTATAATCATATATAAAATTTATTGTAGCCACTTACATATAAAAACGATAAGATCAGCAAGACAGCATCAAATTCCTCATGCCCAGTATACGATCCCCTTTCCGTGTGTAGAGGGTCTCCCGATCACCAGGTAATTCCCCCTTGCTACTCCTATCCAGCACTATCACTTTGTAGCTCTGGGGGACACCTGAAGTGCACCGTTACTCTCCAGACCTCCAACACACAGGGATTCCAGATTCCAAAATGGCTGCCGCAGCACTTCCGGGAACGTCACGTGCCCTGGGCGCGTTTCGTCTCTTCCGGACTTTGTCAACAAGGATCCTTGTTAACAGAGATATTGTTTTTTGAGGTATTTGAAGAGCACCTGTGATTGATTTGCATCTTCCTCAGTGGAGTAGGAAGCGTCTTCCTATCAAGAAATTGATCTTTGTTTGGACACATTATTTGGACACTTTGCATTTGGGACTTTATTTTATTTTTGTTTTTTTTTATATATATATATTATATTTTTTATTTTTGGGTAATCTCTTTGGGTCTTGATTTTTTCACTATAATTGTGGGTTTTTGGGTTTAAGTCAATGAATATATGTTTTACATATGAATCATCAGTACTGCCGTGTTCCGAATGGAAACTGAAGTAAGTCAAGTATCAATAAGGTGATTAGCAGAGAGAGAGAGAGAGAGAGAGAGAGAGAGAGACTGCTCTCATGCACATCCGAATCAAGATTGGCCTTGGGTAAGTATGAAGGGGGGGCTGGGGAGAGAGCACACACCACAGAAGGCTTTTTACCATAATGCATTGAATGCAACCACTTTAAAGTGGTAGAGTGGTACAGGTAATCCTTGTTTTAGGCATACCTATTGGTACAAATAAACAATGGGACTTTACTACCACTTTAAAGTGTTTGCATTCCATGCATTAAGGTTTAAAAGCCTTCTGTGGTCTCCTCTCGCCGCAGCCCCCCCCCCTTTAATTCTTACCCAAGCCCGATCTTGATTCAGATATGAGAGCAACAGTTCTCTCCTCTTTCTGTTTATTGGCTCAGAGACAGAAGTGGGACCCACTGGCTCCTGCTGCAGTCAATTACTGCCAGTGAGGAGAGAGAGAGAGGGGAGAAGGTCGAGCCGTGCTCTGTGTGTCAAAGGACACACAGAGCAGAGCTTGGGAGTGAGCACGCATGAGTGCCCCCATAGCAAGTGCTAGCTATGGGGGCACTGATCAGGGGGGAGGAGCCAGGGGCACCAGTGGGGGACCCCAGAAGAGGAGGATCAGAGCTACTCCGTGCAACCATTGTGCCATTGCACACAGCAGATAAGTATAATATGTTTGCCATTTATTCCTAGTTAACAATCACTTTAAGAAGTATTTTGTCCCTAAACATCAGGCCCTTAAGGTCAAAAGAAACTTAAGATGGACTGTGCACAAAGCTGGTTACAAAATGTATGACAACATGACAGATTATTTCAATGTATCCCCAAACTACATGTACAGCTCCTTTCACTAGGTTTTTTTTTTTTTTTCAGATTTTGACCTAAAATATTCCTCTGGGAGAACCAATTTTTGAAATAGCATTATTCAAGCCAAGATAAATCTCTGGCATTTAGGTAATTTCACTTCTTGACAGAAGATGAGATTGTCACTGTGGAATCTGAAGAGCGACTTTGCCTTCTGTCCACTTGTACATGACAAGACAAATCAGTGGTCTTTTCTTATGTGACTGCCATATACTAGAGGATAAATAATCAGAATTGCCAAGTAAAGGGGTATTTCTTTGTTTCAAACCATTAGTTAAAAAATGTTTTGTTTGAGATGCCAGAGCCTGGGGAGAAGATGTAGACATTAAAAGAATGATTCAAAGATCCCAATTTTGCATTCGTTTTTCAGGCTAAGCACACATCCTGCAGGTGCAAAATAGTACCTTTTGAAATCTTACCTTCCTGTCAGACAAAACTGAAATCTTCTGCTGTCTGTGAACTACAACGCAAATCCCATCTAGATACTAGAGAAGAGGAGACAGGGAGGTGTTTGTAGTCCAAATCAGGACAACAGCCTAGGGTGACAACAATATAGAAACAGTGCAGTGACTTAGAATTGTCACTCTAGAACAAAAAGTGTGTTATTGGCAGGATCACCAGGTGAAAATAAAGAATCGGTAAGCTGCAGTTATTACCTTTTTGTTTTTTTTAAAGAAGCAGGATGCTTTCAAAGGCAGATTTTTAACTTAGAGAGTGACTTAAATAGAGAGGATGAGAACTAATCATCAATCAAAACCTCAGATCAGTGACCCACTGTAGCAGGCACCCAGGGTGAGCTCTAAAAGAGTAAAATTATAGTACATGGAAGCCACTCTGTATTTCAAATTCTGCCACAGTTCAAGCAGCAGCCACCTAACAGCTCTTCAGATCCAGCCATGGTGTGTTCTGTATATACACCGTAGATGTCTACAATCCCAATACTTACAGTCTAGAGCAGGGGTCCCCAACCTGGGCTGAGAACCGCCGCCGGACCGTTCCTGTTTGCAGACAGGCCGCACAGGGAGCACTGAAGGAGCTGGGACGGCCGAGCAGAGAGAAAGGACATCATTGTCTCTCACAACCCGCCCCGCATCATCACTGCTGGGTCCATCTTCTCACATCTCATAGGCTGGAACCCCATTGAGATTAATTGTGCATGTGCCAGTTTCCGCACCCCTGGATGCTGGACTCCATCACACTGGAGAGAGGCCGCAACTAAGTTATTTCACTGCTGTCAGAACACACATTCAAATTGGCTTTAAAATTCTTAAAAAGTGGCATGCTGCATCTGCTGATGCTACAGTGGGAAGCTGCTTCTGTTGGCAGCGTAGTGACATGCTGCATCTGGTAGCAGGCAATGGTGGCAATTGACAAGCTGCATATTGTGGCAATTGACACACTGCATTTGGTGGCAGATAAGGGTGGCAAGGGACACGCTGCAAGTGGTGGCAAGTGACACTTTGCATCTGGTGGCAGACAATGGTGGCAAGTGACATGCTGCATCAAGTGGCAGGCAATGGTGGCAAGTGACATGCTGCATCTGGTGGCAGACAATGGTGGCAAGTGACACGCTGCATATGTTGGCAAGTGACGCACAGCATTTGGTGGCAGACAATGGTGGCCAGTGACACGCTGCATTTGGTGGCAGACAATGGTGGCAAGTGACACGCTGCATGTAGTGGCAGGCAATGGATGCAATTGACATACTGCATCTGGTGGCAGGCAATGGGCAACGTTGCATGTAGTGCAATGGATGCAAGTGACACACGCATTTGCAGGTGGCAGGCAATGATGCAAGTGACACGCTGCATGTAGTGGCAGGCAATGGATGCAAGTGACACACTGCATCTGGTGGCAGGCAATGGATGCAAGTGACATGCTGCATGTAGTGGCAGGCAATGGATGCAAGTGACACACTGCATCTGGTGGCAGGCAATGGATGCAAGTGACATGCTGCATGTAGTGGCAGGCAATGGATGCAAGTGACACACTGCATCTGGTGGCAGGCAATGGATGCAGCTGACACACTGCATCTGGTGGCAGGCAATGGATACAAGTGACACACTGCATTTGGTGGCAGACAATGGTGGCAAGTGACATGCTGCATGTAGTGGCAAGTGACACGCTGCATCTGGTGGCAGGCAATGGATACAAGTGACACACTGCATTTGGTGGCAGACAATGGTGGCAAGTGACATGCTGCATGTAGTGGCAAGTGACACACTGCATCCGATGGCAGGCTACTACGGTGGCAAGTGACACGCTGCATATGTTGGCAAGTGACACACTGTATCTGGTGGCAAGTGACAAGCTGCATCTGGTGGCAGGCAATGGTGGCAAGTGACAAGCTCAGGGCTCCCCCTGATTGTGCATTATGGTGAGTTGAACTATTTCATTATATAATACAATGTAATAATAGAAATAATGTGCTTTCATCATCCTGACACCATGTCAACCATGGTGTCGGGAGGAATGATGCGCTAACACCTGAAAACAGATCCACAGTGGAATGCTTTTCAGAGTATCAACTAGTGTGAACCTAGTCTAACAGAGTCTAATTTAGTCCAGGTAGGCTCCTCAGAATAAATTGTTTGAAAAGTGGTATCTTTGCAGTAGAAAGAATGTGTCGCTACCAGTGTTATGTTCATTTTTATAGGCGATTACATGGATTTAATGTCTATAGTAGCAGCTAAATACAGATCTGAGCATGAATTTAGCCAAAGAAATGGGTCCCTGATAAGTAATTTATTACACACCTTGTTAAAGCTTAATTTATTTAATTATATACCATATTTTTCGCTCCATAAGACACACACCTGACCATAAGATGTCCCTAGGTTTTAGAGGAGGAAAAGAGGAAAACAAGAAAAAAAAATATTCTGAACCAATGGACTGCAGACATAATACAGGAGATGACCAGCGACTATGGACATACTACAGGAGATGACCAGAGACTGCGGACACAGTACAGGAGATGACCAGAGACTGCGGACATAGTACAGGAGATGACCAGAGACTGCGGACATAGTACAGGAGATGACCAGAGATTGCGGACATACTACAGGAGATGACCAGAGACTGCAGACATAGTACAGGAGATGACCAGAGACTGCGGACATAGTACAGGAGATGACCAAAGACTAAGACTGCAGACACAGTACAGGAGATGACCAAAGACTGCGGACACAGTACAGGAGATGACCAAAGACTGCGGACACAGTACAGGAGATGACCAGAGACTGCATGGACATAGTACAGGAGATGACCAGAGACTGCAGACACAGAACAGGAGATGACCAGAGACTATGCGGACATACTACAGGAGATGACCAGAGATTGCGGACACAGTACAGGAGATGACCAGAGACTGCGGACATACTACAGGAGATGACCAGAGACTGCAGACATAGTACAGGAGATGACCAGAGACTGCGGACACAGTACAGGAGATGACCAGAGACTGCGGACACAGTACGGGAGATGACCAGAGACTGCGGACATAGTACAGGAGATGACCAGAGACTGCAGACACGGTACAGGAGATGACCAGAGACTGCGGACATAGTACGGGAGATGACCACAGACTGCGGACACAGTACAGGAGATGACCAGAGACTGCGGACACAGTACAGGAGATGACCAGAGACTGCGGACACAGTACAGGAGATGACCAGAGACTGCGGACACAGTACAGGAGATGACCAGAGACTGCAGACACAGTACAGGAGATGACCAGAGACTGCGGACACAGTACGGGAGATGACCAGAGACTGCGGACATAGTACAGGAGATGACCAGAGACTGCGGACATAGTAACAGGAGATGACCAGAGACTGCAGACACAGTACGGGAGATGACCAGAGACTGCAGACACAGTACGGGAGATGACCAGAGACTGCGGACACAGTATGGGAGATGACCAGAGACTGCGGACACAGTACAGGAGATGACCAGAGACTGCGGACACAGTACAGGAGATGAGCAGAGACTGCGGACATACTACAGGAGATGACCAGAGACTGCAGACACAGTACGGGAGATGACCAGAGACTGCGGACACAGTACGGGAGATGACCAGAGACTGCGGACACAGTACGGGAGATGACCAGAGACTGCGGACATAGTACAGGAGATGACCAGAGACTGCAGACACAGTACGGGAGATGACCAGAGACTGCGGACACAGTACGGGAGATGACCAGAGACTGCGGACACAGTACAGGAGATGACCAGAGACTGCGGACACAGTATGGGAGATGACCAGAGACTGCGGACATAGTACAGGAGATGACCAGAGACTGCGGACACAGTACAGGAGATGACCAGAGACTGCGGACACAGTACAGGAGATGACCAGAGACTGCGGACACAGTACAGGAGATGACCAGAGACTGCGGACACAGTACGGGAGATGACCAGAGACTGCGGACACAGTACAGGAGATGACCAGAGACTGTGGACATAGTACAGGAGATGACCAGAGACTGTGGACACAGTACGGGAGATGACCAGAGACTGTGGACACAGTACGGGAGATGACCAGAGACTGCAGACATAGTACAGAAGATGACCAAACACTAAGGACCTTTGAGGAGCGGGGTTTTGTACCCAAATTTGACAGGTACCCGCTCCCACTTCCGCAGAGTTGTCCTCCCTCCCTGTCTTCTGGGACACGTGACAGGTCTCAGATGACTGCCGGACCATTCACAAAGCGCAGTGAATGTGCAATGGGCACCTGGCTGTGAAGCCACAAGCTGACACAACCGGGTGCTCACACTAAAGCTGCCGGCGCTGGGGGAGAAAAAACAGTGAGGACAGCGCTGGTCCGAGGAACAGGTAGGAGCACAGAAGAGCCGAGCGGCAGGCCCAGGATTCTAACACGGCAGTGGTGAGAATTCTGGCCCGGTCGCTCCATAAGATGCACAGACATTTTCCCCCATTTCTTTGGGGGAAAAAATGCGTCTTATGGAGCGAAAAATACGGTATGTACAAGGAAATTCTTGTACTTTGACATTGCTTGAAAACAAATGGAATAAGCTAGAACCCACTTCAATGGTTTAGTATGCAAAGAAGAGATTATTTGCAGCAGTATTCCATCTGAAATGTCCCGCTACAATCAATGGTCTCACAGCTCCATCTACTACATTAGCAATTTCGTTAGCAATTTTCATAGCTTAGATCACAAAATGAAAAAAAAAAACAAAAAACCCCAAGAATATTGGCTAGAAAAACAGACTGCCTGCAGTGAATTTAAACCATGAGCTGGACTTCACACTAAGCCTGTTCTAAAGGTAAATTAAGATGCAAATTTTAAAGTGGAACTCCGGCCTTCCCTTCAATCTTGCACAGTTGTATACATTCCTCTTCTGTCCTGAAATTGCTTACTCTGATTTCACTGCACATAAATCACAGTATACATTAAGAGCTACAGCAGGTGAGAAAAAGTCCCTTTCATTTCCAGACAGGAGGACATCCAGCATCATTTAGCACTTTCCTCCTCAGCCTTACTGCCCCCCTGACCTGCCACTTTCGTGTACTGGATTTCTATCATGGAGGCTCAGTATCACATGTGGGCATTACTTAGGACACCCATTTTAATATTTGCACTACTCCTCCTTCCAAAAGGCAGTTTACTGTTTGCATCAGGGGTGAGGGTTCATGAGAGAAATTCTAAGACAGAGGTTCTCCAACCAGCCATTATCTGCCAGCATTGCATAGAGAAGCACAGAGACTCAGTGCTGGCATCACTAGGACTAAAATAAAATATATCGTGAAAATGGAAAGGTTTTCTGTAAAAATGTCATTACTATGTTGATGAGTGGGTAAGGAGGAACTATGCAAGGCAAAATATAAACAGATAAAACTTTAGCTTTAAAGAATACAATAGTTCTCAGAAAATTTGTGTTTCTATGTTATGGCACAATTGAAATATGCTCCGAAAAGAAGCTTGAAACATATTCAATAAAGTAAACCTGTAACCAGCTAAGTACAAAATGAAAAACAAAAACATATGAAAAAGATCAGTATATCCAGAGAGATCTGTAAATCTTCACTTATCCTGCAAAGTCAAACTTAACTCTGTGACCTACAGATTTACACACTTCCTTACTCCACTGACCTCTGACATCGACAAGGCATTTTCGTCCACACAACAGCCACTCACTGGATATTGTCTCTTTATCAAACCATTCTCTGTAAACCCTAGAGATGGTTGTGCGTGAAAATGCCAGTAGATCAACAGTTTTTGAAATACTCAGACCAGCCCGTCTGGCACCAACAACCATGCCACGTTCAAAGTCACTTAAATCCCCTTTCTTCCCCTGTCTTATGCTCAGCTTGAACTTCAGCAAGTCATCTTCACCACATGTAGATGCTCAAATGCATTGACCTGCTGCCATGTGATTGGCTGATTAGTAATTTGTGTTACCAAGCAATTGAACAGGTGTAGCTAATAAAGTGGCCGGTGAGTGTATATCCCTTCAATTTGTTAGTCCTAAACAGAAACTATGAAGAATCCTCAACATGAGTATCAAGCCGGACTTCAAACACACATGTAAATTCCCTGTAAACTGACAGTATGTTCAGATGCAGATCAGTTCGGTGAATATGCAGCTGGCTAAAGCATAGATACCAGAGTGTGGTAGTAAATGGGGTTCATTCGGAACAGAGACCAGTCACTAGTGGTGTACCACAAGGCTCTGTACCAGAAGCGGACTGACAACTCATGGGGCCCCCGGGCAATAGGGGATCATGGGGCCCCTGTGTCCTTGCCCAAACTCAAAAAAGCCTATGAAAAAGGTACCAGGGGCATCTCATGGGGCCCCCTACTGACCCCCGACCCTCGGGCAGTGCCGGAGTTTCCAAATGGTCAGTCCGCCCCTGTTCTGTACTAGGTCCTGTTCTATTTAATCTATATGTGAGTGATATAAATAAAGGTTTGTTGGGCAGGGTATATCTTTTTTGCTGATGATACAAAGGTGTGTAATAGGGTTGATATCTCTGGAGGTGTTTGTAACATGGAACAGAATTTGGCATTGCTGGACAATTGGTCCAGCAAATACGAAAAATAATGCACCTAGGGAAAAAGGATCCTTTGAGAGAGTACAACAATGGGGGTGCAGTGTTGGCCAGCACTACAGAGGAAAAAGATTTGGGGGAACTTATTTCAGATGATAGCAAAATGAGCAAACAGCGTGGCCAGGCAGTGGAAAAAGCAAATAGAATTCTAGGATGCATCACTAGAGAGGTCACCAGCAGGAGGAAGGAGGCCCTGATTCTCCTATATAGATCTTTAGTTAGCCCTCATTTAGAATACTGTGTCCTGTTCTGGAGACATCACTTACAAAAAGATGTTGATAAGATAGAGTAAATCCAGAGATGGGCAACAAAACAGGTGAAAGGTCTGAGGGATAAAACATCAGGAGAGACTTCAGGAACTTAATATGTACAGTCTGGAGGAAAGAAGGGAAGACAGGATTGAAACCTTTAAATACATCAAGGGGGTGAATAAGGTTCAAGAGGGCAGTATTTTCAATATGAAGCTAAGATCAAGAACACGGGGACGCCTTAAATTAACTGGAGGAAAGTCCAAAACTAACTAGGAAATTATTTTCTGTACATTATTTTACTGAAAGAAAAGTTGATGCTTGAAATAGACTTCCAGCAGAGGTAGTGAGTCAGTCAACAGTAAGTGGATTCAAACACGCTTGGGAGAAACATAGATCTATACTCAGACAAAAAAGGTAACAAAGAAAAAAAAATGCAAAAATATATTTAAAAAATGGGCAGACTCGATGGACCATGTGGTCTTTTTTTTGCCGTCACTTTTCCATGTTTCTAGACCGTATGCTGTGTGCCTGATCTTTGAGGTTATATATAAAGGTTCAAATTAAAAAGGGGATCTAGCAGTAACCTAAAATGGGCAAGTCAGCCTGGTGTTGCTAAATCACATGTGGACATCTTAACCATTGGTCCTTCTTCTTAGCCCTTGTTCCTTTGAGGATTGGAATTGAATTTTAAAAAATGTTGCTATGTGGTTAAGTAGTTCAGAAAAAAAACCTGTGTGCCTATATCAACGATAAAAATGTGCAAGATTCATAAATCTGGGGAAAAAAAGTCTCCTGTACACATTCTTTAGAGTGGAACATAACTCACTTAACCGCTAGCCTACAGGGCACATATACCCCCTTCCTGCCCAGGCCAATTTCCAGCTTTCAGCACTGTCGCACTTTGAATGACAATTGCGCGGTCATACAACACTGTACACATATGAAATTTTTATCATTTTTTTGTGACAGATAGAGCTTTATTTTGGTGGTATTTAATCACCTCTGGGTTTTTTATTTTTTCTTAAACAAACCAAAAACCACAGAAAATTTGGGAAACAAAACGCTTTTTCTTAGTTTTTTGTTATAACATTTTGTAAATAAATGATTTTTCTCCTTCACTGATATGTGCTAATGAGGCTGCAGTGGTGGGCACTGATAGGCTGCACTGATGGACACTGATAGGTGGCACTGATGGGCATGGATGAGGAGGCACTGGTAGGTGACACTGATGGGCATTGACAGGCATCACTGATGGACACTGAAAGGCAGCACTGATATATGGCACTGATAGGCGGCACTGATGCGCACTGATAGGCGGCACTGACTAGCACTGATAGGCGGCACTGACTGGCACTGATGGGTGACACTGAAAGGCGGCTCAGATGGGTACTGATATGTGGCATTGATGTCCACTGGTAGGCACTGATATGTGGCATTGATGTGGTACTGATGGGCACTGGCACGAGGCACTGATGAGCACTGACACAAGGCACTGATGGACACTAACAGGTGGCACTGCTGGGGCTACAGTGATCATCAGGGCACAATGATCATCAGTGCCCTGATGACCAGTGTACATGTCCCCTCTGCGGAAAGCCAATTACTGGCTCTCCTCTCGAGCTGTCACGCTGACAGAAATGCCGATAACCGGCATTTTCCTATTTACATGTGATCAGCTGTGATTGGACACAGCTGATCACATGACCAAGCCGACAGCTTCGGCTCTTTCCATGATCGGTGATCCGCTGTGTCCAAGGGACACAGCGCACCGCCAAGTGCCACACTGCGCACTCCCTGAGCTGCGCATGCACAGTGAGAATGGGAGGACGTCATATGACGTCCTCCCAGAACAAGAGAACCACCTTGTGCCCATCATTGGACTATATGGCGGGTGGGAGGTGGTTAAATAACAATTTATCACTTTGCCCCTTCCTCTTACTTAACCCCTAGACGCCGAACGCACGCAAATATGTGGCCTCTTGGCGTCTGGGCCTTGACGACGAGCGGCCGCATATTTGCGTACCATTTGAAAATACATATGTGCTGAGAGCGCGCGCCCTGCACGCTCCCAGCACGTATATCTGTGACTCACGGAAAGGTCCCAATCTCCCCTTGCGATTGGGACCTATTTTGATCATGTGACCACTGTGACAGTGAATCATGGTGGTCACATGACCCTAAAAACCCCACCCTGCCTCCTGAAACTCTTAAAGGCACGGGAGGCGCCAGCGCAAAGGGGTTAAATGCAAAAAAATATATACTTTGTAACTGTTTTGTTGGCCAAGGCAGCACTTCTGGGTTTCTGGCCTAAGTTGGGCTCGCTGCTTCCTGGAATTACTACATCCCATCTAACCCAGAAGGCAGAGTCTTCCCAAGCTACACATGCACACAAATGCCATGGGGCCCTATGAAGGTGTCTGCATTTGTGAGCAAGTGGAGAAATTCGCCAAACATTCTAAATGCGTAAAAGAGACATGCAGCATTTCTGTACATGTGCTTTTTTAAATTTTTTTTATTGGCATTATGCAAGAGGGGCGAGGAAAGGTAATTGAAAGTGATTGTAAATCATTGATTTTTTTATTTTTTTAAAATAACAAACATGTTATATGTGCCTGCTCTGCACAATGGTTTTGCACACAGGAGCCCTGATCCTCATCTTCTTATATACTCCGTCTGCACTCCTGGCTGCTTACCCCATCGAGTGCCCTCATAGCAAGCGGCTTGCTATGGGGGCACTCATGCCCACAGAGTGCGGCTCAGTCCTTCTCCTCACTAGTCAATGGCTCCCGCTGCTGTCTCAAAGCCAATGTGGGAAGAGAGAGTAGAGAGCCTCTGCTCTCATGCACATCCCTGGATCAAGATCAGGCTCAGATAAGTATAAAGCTGCACGAAGAAGGTTTTTTTTTACAAGGAATACATTAGGGTAAAAAAAAATTCTACCTTTAGAACCACTTTAGGAGCAGTTAGATTCCATTTTAAATTATTTATTGTGCCAACATCAAACCTAAGGTTACATCCATTTAAAAGTTAGAGTGCCCAGTCCCCAAGCCATGGCCATACTATTCTAAATGCTACATCTGTAATTAAAGTGATTGCTTGCATTTGATAAAAAAAATGCCTAAATATGACAGCAGATAGGGCACAGTAAAAGAGCCAAGCAAATGTTTCCCAACCAGCTGTAACACAGAATTCTTGTGCTATTTCCATCTGCAGTCCTGCAAACACATGCTGACAACAAATGTGGAGTTTCATCTGCTTCCTATGACAGGTGCATGATCACAGAGGAAAGAATGACTTTTCGCCAACATACGACATCACAATGATCCGAAGTCATAACAAACAAATATACAACAGACTTGGGTTTGAGTTGTGGATTGTAGCTCTTCAGACTCAACTTTATACACATGCATTAAGTTAGAATCCTCTAAAGCTTGCCTTAGGGCATATGGCTCCTTCTGCATCATTTTAATTAGGTGCCAAACTCAATGCAAACTCTACTAACCTTCACTTTAACTACTGCTACTGAAAAGGAATTTTAAAAAAAAGTGCCCCTTTTGTGAAATTCTCCCTGATCTCCTACATGCCTGTGCCATGTTGCCATAGTGATGCATTGATATCAGAGTCAGTGAATGCATGTTGCGTGATATAGTAAACAATCGAGAAAAGAAGAAGTGGGGTGTCAAAGGGTCTTCTCATTCTCTCCTTATTCTCCCTACAATGTAAAATGTATCTCACTGCCCTTGAAGCTTGCTAAGTGTTGGAGAGACTAAATAGTAGACTGTCAATGCTTCTTCCCCACTTTAATGACAATGGGAAGAGGATGGGGGTGAAATTGCAAGTGGCCCAGTCTAAAATCAAAGAACGTATTAGAGGCATGCCTACCTTACAAAATTTAATTACCTTTACCAAATGTTCAAGAGAGAAGAAAATCCAACTCTGAGCGCTCCCTTATAGCATGATGTTCCATGTGATCACACAGACTGCACACAGCTAATGTTAGCTATTACAGATATTATCAAAGATAGGCTGTGGTACAAATCGGTACAAAATGTAACAAGCAGTAAGTGTAACAGAACTGACCCAGTCTGCGCTTGGGTACTTCCATTATAATACCGCTTCCCCGTCCAAACACCGACCACTGACACCACAGCAAACCAAACAAGACTAGACAACAACAATCTTGCAGTAATCCAGAAAGTAGACTAATTTGTATAAACACAGATACAAGATATATACACTCAAGGGAACAGTCCCCCCTCCCTGCATAATGACACAGGGCGGGGCAATCTACACTTAGGAACAAGAGACACACCAACAGACAGTCCCATCAGGAGGGAGGGCTGCTGGAGAAACCCCCCCCCCCCACCAAGCCAATACATATAAACACATACATCCCATAAAAGTTTGCTCCAAAGCAAGACAAACAATAGAACAATGGGATGCAACCACACAACATCAAACAATCCACAACCCCCCCCACCTCACCTATCTTCTAGACATGTCTACACAATATTAGGACAGATCACCCTGTACCCCTAACAGGCACAGAGTGACTTACACATAAGAGGGATATGGGGAGCTGAGACAGGGGTCTCCCCACCTCTCCAAAGTGAGCTGGGTTCCATGGGCCCCCCCACCCAAAGTGACTCCCCCATCACAGTACGCCCATGTTCTGATAGAATCAAAGTATCTTTTCAAATAAATACCACCAACATATTGGAACAATAGTATTTTGGGCACGCTCCGTTTACAATAAAACTAGGTGTATACTTGTGCGTCTGCATTTGCAGGGAGTTATTTACTGCATTTTTCACGCATTGCCAAGCATTTTTCAAGTTCTATCTTTGATTACAAACTTTTATTTGGAAAAGTAACAAAATCAGAGGCAATACAGTTAGTGAACAAAGTCAGATATCACAGAAAACATAGGGTATATATCCATACTTCAAAATACAAAAAACAATGTCTAACTGAAGTACTTAGTATAGTGAATGAATCGACGATTATTCGTAACAAGAAGAAAAAAAATAAAGAATAGAGTGCAAACCAGAATACACCATGAAAGATTTGAATATAGTCATTGTGTGGCAACCTATATGTAAACCAGGGATTCCATTTTAGTTCAAATGTTTTCTTGTGTTTTGTATTGTGTGGAATATTTTTCCCATGATCATGATATCATCAATTCTAACAATAATTTGTGGGAATAGCACTGTGTTTGTTTTCCAACGAAGGGCTATTGTCCAATGTGTAGCTTCACAAATGGTGTGTATAAGATTTATTAGAAAGATCTGAGATATTAGTAAATAATATGCAGTTGTTGCATGTTAAGGTTATTTCTTTACCTGCTAAGGCACAGGTGTCAGACTGGTGGCCTTCCAACTGTTGCCAAACTACAAGTCCCATGAGGCATTGCAAGATTGACAGTTATAAGCATGACTCCCAAAGGCAAAAGGCATGATGGGACTTGTAGTTTCACAACAGCTGGAGGGTTGCCAGTTTGACACCCCTGTGCTAAGGTGTTAATTAAGATAAAAATTTCTTTCCAGGTAGGAGCCGATTTATCACATTCCCAAAATATATGTAAGAATGTGCCTGGAAGGAGACAACCTCTAAAACAAGATGGTGAAACCTGTGGGTAAAAAGAATGTAGACGTTGTGGTGTGTAGTACCATCGGGTAAAAAGCTTCACTTCTGTGTTACGCATCATCAGGGACTTAGTACATTTTCAGAGATTATTCCACCTAGAATCCCATTTTCGTTTCAAAAATTGTGTGCCTAACTCAGATTCTCAACTTATCATATAAGGATGTTTTTCTGTGTCCAGATCATTATATTAGGTGGAAATCAAACCTTTACCTCTAGGAGATTTATGGCAAATCTGTTTATAAATAGTAAGATGATTAGTTTGAAAAGGAGATATAATGAGAGTAGAAAAAAAAGCGTATTTGTAAATAATGTTGATATTCAATGGTGGGAATCGAATTTAATTCTTGTAATAGCTTGAAGGAAATAAAGGAGGAGTTTTTATAACAAATGTTTTCTATAGATCATGTTGTTATCTATCCACCATTGAAAATCTTTAGGGCAATCAAAAGCTGTTTTACATCTAGGATCCCGTAGAAATGTTGCGCCAGAGGAAGGGGTAGAATATAGGACAGAAACTGCTCTGCATTTATTCCACAGTTTAAGAGATTGAGAAATGATCATATTCCAAGTTGAGATAAGGTGTTATGGAATGGAATTAGACAAGAGAAGTCCAGGTAAAAAGAAAGGGAAGATGGATACATTTTCAAATGTTTAGAAACGTCCACCCGCATCACCAGCGCTCCTGTCCGGCCATCTATAGGTATGGGCCAGACAGGAAGAGGTTAAACGGTTCTTCAAGGCTAGCCTAGAAAGCCTGAAAATACCATGCAAGTTATTCAGGAGGAAACAGCAAGGAAGGGCTGAAAAGAACAATAAGCAGTCAACGGGTGTCTGTGAGGTGGAGTGGAGCAGGACACAGCTATGTGAGGACTGTGGACTGTTGCTGAGCTCTTGCAACATTTCTGGACCTATGAGCAGACGGGAACTTTAAAAGCCCTGCGGAGGGACACTTTCTTCTGGCAGTGAGCCGAAATATTATTTATGTGTACTGTTTTGTATATTTTTTTCATGCTAAATTAGCGGCTTTGTTTAACGTTTGGAAATAAA